TAGGTATGAAAATTCAGCATCCAGCACCACAAACATTTCTGTCCAAGGCGCTGTCCTCGTCGAGTACAATGAAAGAAATGCTTGGGCTTTTTTTCTTTTTTTTCTTCTGTGCAGCCAGTGCCACTTCCAAGAAAAGAAAAGGTTGTGGTTCGATAGCAATAACTTTTTTTGGACGACGCAGCCTTTGAGATAAAGACGCAGTGGCTGTGGACAGTGATTGGTCTCATTGTTTGTATTCCAGCAGCTTGCTATGGGAAATGTCCACTCGCCGCTGTTTCTCATTCTGTGGCCTTAAAAATCATTGTTTGTCAGCATTAATCATCGTCCTCCCCCCTCTCCCTACACACGTACCTTTCCTCGGTCACTTTGCTCACTATTTCATCATGTCTGCTTTCTCCCAGGCGACCCCTGATCCCAAACAACAGTAAAGCTCTTGAATTGGCTGTAGGGGAAAAGACTAAAAGAATGTAATGTATCTGTTTCTATCCAGGCAGCCGGTGGGAACAAATATTGACATATAATTCTTTTTTCTCCCTCCTTTCTGTCTGTGGCCAAACCTTTACTTGCATTACAGCTGTGAGGGAGAGTGGGAGGGAGAGTCAGTGTCACCGGGGAGACCGACATGAATGATACATTTTTTTTTTTTATATCCCTGCTTTTTCTAGTGATTCTGTCGTCTCCTTTACACCATTCTCTTTCTTTTCCGTGGCGAGCTGTTGTGAATCTCTCTGATGAGAAAGCGAAGCCCTTTCCAGCAAGGTAAATAACCATTAAGTGGTGAGTGAGTGGGAAAGACGGAGGTGGCAGAGAATAAAATACATGGGACAAAAAGAGCAGGGAAGAAATGAAAGCAAGAAAAGGTCATCTGTTGCTATTTCAATATCCTTCAGCCCCCCATGGCACCTTTTATTTTATCCAAGGGCCTATTTGTCTTTGCTGAAACTGTTTCTCGACTAAAACGAGACAGCGAGGACCCTTTACTATCCACGACTGGTAATATAAGAGCACAATGGCCGACTCTCACAAAGTTGTAGGATTTCTCATTACATTTCTTTATTTATCCTGCCAGCGCCGACATGGGGGAAGGAGGAGACAAAAAGGCTTGAGTGATGTGGAGAGAAATGAAAAGAAGTGATTTTATTTGAATGTTGAACAATGCTTCCCTGCTCCTGCGGCCGTACTGCGTTGCTGTTGCTGGTGGGGATGTGATACATCCTGAGGCCCGTGGTGCGGCCCTGTGCATATCACTCATCAGACACATATCATTGATCACAGATGCTGCTGGTTGCCCTGGTTGCCGTGTCTCAGTGTGCCCTCTGTCGTTCCGTCTGCGGCTCGCTTCCTCTCGGTTTCCTCTCTCCACCGTCCTTCTGCCTTTCCCAAGCGCCCCTCTTCTCATCTTCCTCCATCTGCCACCCTTCTCCTCCATCCCCTTCTGCTCCTAATACAATCCCTCTCACTGTGTCTCTTTGTCTATCGCAGCACTCCCTTCTGTAGGGCATCCTTCTCCTTCCCTTCCTCCCCCCAGTCTATCGGAGTGTCCTTAGGAGACACTTGCAGATGAGGCAGGAGGCTCATGCACTTGGAGGTTATAAAGGAGAAACAGTGAATCAAGTTTGAGCCGTCCAAGTGCTTGCTCCGCATCTGAGCACCCTTGCTCGCTTGTGGATTTCATGAATAATTGATTTAAATAATGGAA